ATACATAGATATTTGGTAAGAGGACATCAAATAAAGTGTAGGTGTCCTGTTTTATGATCATATAATGATGACTATAGAACAATAACAATTTGCTGCAATAACAAATTACTGATCCACATTAGGGAAATACAAATACTTTAGATGCCATCCATTCTTCCACACATAGATCAAAATGATCTTCCAGGAATGGTGAAGCTATTTACCGAAGTACTGCAGTGATTTTCTACCTCTTGATCCCTAATCTGGAATCTAACTTGTTCCACAATGCAGAGCTGCTTAGTTATAGGAGAAATCATCTGTCACTGCAGTTAGTTGTATTTGTGAATTTTATCTCATCGAAATGGTAATTTCACTCTGTTATTTCCAGATATGACACAGGTCACACATGTTTATCCCTTTGCTCACTATAACTCTCTGTGTGCTTCCAGGGGCCCAGAAGTTGACTCTCACTGCTGAACCAGGAGCCACTATAAACATCAGAAATAATAATAAAGTCAAAGGTTGCAAAGTGTGTACAGGATCGATTATTAAAAAATGCAACGCTGGATCTCTGAATTATTTAAAAGGAACTACTGTGGAATTGAAATGCTCCAGACCTCAAGATGTATTCAGTATAGAAATTGTACGGCGTATAAGTAAGTGTCTGTGTGATATCTGATTATTTTATCAGTGAGACTGAATGTCCTGAGTGGACTAACACAGCATGAGTGGATTCATTTTCTCTTTTCAGCTTGCACCACGGAGTCATGCAGTGGTCACATCATCCAGACTGACTTCAGCTCGACTGATGCGCTGCGTTTTAACCGCACGTTTACCTGGAATCTAGAGGCCACAGCGCCAAAAGCTTTCCAAATAGATTTCACTAACACGGGTCTTAAACAGATCAATCCATCTGAGAAATGTCCAGACAGACACACCTACACCCTCCAGGCCTTCCAGTCTACGGGCAATGTGGCTGTGGGGAAGTACTGCAGAAGTGGCACCATCAGCAGTGCTCAGGTTTTGAAAAGCGGCAGCTTTTCTGTGGACGTCCCAGCAGAGCAGAAGCTGCAAAATGACAAGTTTGATGTGACTGTGCGGGAAAAAATCAAGTGTGAGTTTAGTTACAGTCACTTTTTTTGTGTTTCATCCAAAATTACAGTGTCATTTAACAATTTTTGTTTTAATTTCAATTTATTTGGTGTGTTGTGTGTGTGTGTGTGTGTGTGTTGTAGCTCTTGCCCGAATTTCTCTGACTTTACCAAAAGGGACCTCTTCCTCAGAGCTGCTCTCGCCGGACTACCCAGAGAGTTTTCCTGATGACGACACCATGGAGTGGTACTTTCACATCCCAGACAAACACGGGGTTGATGTTCAGTTTCTAAAGCTCACACAGCCAGATTGTGTGAAGAAGGAAGTAGCAGTGGAGTACCACCAGAAAGGCAGGGTGACATCGGTTCTGGGGCTAAATGAGACACAGCCGCTCCAGAACCAGGGAGACTTTTTGCTCACGCTGAGGAACTGCGAGATGGAGAGAGCACCTGCTGATTCTCCTGGACTCACCTTCACCCTCAAGGTGTCTGCTTCCAGCCCAGCTTCAACAGGTCTGTATGTTATAAGCACTCACTCATTCATAGTTTGTACTTTCATTAACAATAAATAGATGAAATGTTATTCCGAGTTACTCCCAGGGAAAATATTTGCTTTTGAAAATGTAAAACTGCTTTAATCGATATTTGCATAAAGCTCTGTCATTGCATAATGTAGAAGATGTTTGAAGTGATGACCACAGAGAGCGAAAACAAGGCCCCAAATGTTACGTTTTCTTCCACTTATGCAGTTCAGGGTACACCCTGGGCAGGTCACAACACCGTGTTTGAGCATGACTCCCCAGAGCAAACAGGTCAGGAAGGTATTTCCAACTTGCCCAACAGCTGAAGGCTTGATGGTCTGGGTAAAACCTCGTCATCACTAGGTCCAAATTTCTCCAAGACTTTGGTTTATGACAAAACGTACTGCAGCACTGTGACCAGATCACATCAGCTTGATAACTTTAGCATTTGGTGTAAAGCACCACAGGAATATGAGGCTGTAGTGTAGCTTCACACTCAGGAGTATAAACAATAATTGAGTGATTTTCCAGCTTCAGCAATTCTGTTTATTGTTGAATTCTTTTTTTACAACCACTGCACATTGAAAATGTGAACCAAATGTTAACCAAGTTAATTGTTTCTCCTCTATAGCACTTTTAAACATCATCCTGGGTGTAGTGGCTACTCTGCTGGTCATTTCTGTCATAGTGCTAGTTGTAATGATTAGGTGAGTATTTCTATTATTTAGTGTGTTTTCAAAGGGGACGACCCATCAATAGCTGAATAAAACAGAAAATAATCCCAATCTTCTCTTTTGTCCCACCAAACAGGAAGAACAAGAAGAAGAAGAAGAAGAAGAAGAAGAAAGGCAATCATGAAGTTGCTGTCTATAATCCAAATGGCATCAACTTCTTACCAGGATACAAATCCCCAGACGTGCTGGGGACTTGTAAAGATGATGAGTCCCATGTGTACGAAGAGATTGATGACACCCTCGTCTACACACACCTGCTGAAAAGGGCTGCAGAGACTGGCAACTATGAAGAAACATGTAAACCTGTTTCAGGGCACAGAGACTCTCAAAAGCCACTGCTCTCATCACAGCAGGGCCCTCCACGCCCCAACAAGCCACCAAGCAAAATCCGAACCCCGGTGGACAATACAATTTACCAGAATATGATTTACCAGCCTAAGGATCAAAGTGAGGACGAAAAGCTCCCGAATCTGGGGGCCTCGACTGGAGCTAGAGGGAAGCAACTGAGCAGAAGACTAGACTCAGCTTTTTGATTTTTCTCTTGACCCACTTGAACTTTGGGATATTCATTCCCTGTGTGATTGCTCGCTGTTCAGCCTCACAAAGCACCTTTTCTGAGTGCAGCTTTTGCACTAAAGTGAGGAACACACAAACAACCTGTCTGCAGCTGTTACAACGTTTTGTCCCAGATTAAAAGCTCTTCGATTGCAAAGGTTGCTCTCAATCATCCCCTGTAGCTGCATCTGACATAAAACATTTATTTCATAGTAAGGTTAAATATATTGCTTTTTTTAATGTGTCACGATGGGATGAGTCCTTTATCCTCATCGGAGACTAGTGGCATAATTCCCCTGCAATTAAACTGCATTTCAGTGTATTTCATTTTTAATTTCGGTGTAGTTATTTGACTGCAATAACTTAAAGGCAGGTACACTGGAATAATGGGGTGAGAAGTCAGGTTTTTACAGGAAACAGAAATTATTTTATTAAATTTTAAGTAGTGCGCAAGTAATTTTATAAAGTTCATGACTTATTTATTGGTATTACAGAATATCAGGTATTTTAAAGGAAAGGGGAGAAATTAAGTACATTTAAATAGTGCATAAAAATCCTAAAGTCATTTTAAGTATTCAATTTCATTGTAATTTTGCTGAATAAACAATATTTTCCCATCTTACCTCATAAATGGACTGGATTTTGGGGCTATGGACCATATTATGGAGTGACTTAACCTTGTCTTACATGATATTTATTGTTTTAGTGTGCATGATAGAGAGTCCACTGTGAAACTATTCTTTCATATTTATTAATATAAAAAATTATGTAGTAAGTTAAACTGTTCTCCCTTTTCTACTTTTCAATATATTTATTCAAGCTTTCAATATATTTTCACAGCGTTGTCTCCTCTGAATAGGATGGAACACCAAAGCTTTCTCCTTCCAGAGCAACGTCCAGACAACAAATGCAGATAAAAGTTTTCAGTGGTCTTAAACAAACTTGTTTCTCTTTCCTGGGCCAATTTCAATACGATCCGCCCTCTTTTTTCTTAAATATTACAGCTTCAAGCTTCCCATCCAAGAAGCTACTCTAAGCGA